AGAGGCTGAGAAATGGTAGTAGCGTAGAAGTTAAGTGTGGTGGAAAGATAGATGGGGGAAGTAAAAGGCTGACTGTGTAACTAGGGGAAATGGTTGAATTAGAAAGTTGGGAGAAACGAGTGATCAACATGTTGGGGGTGCCCAGCAATAGAAATAAAAAGACAGCTAAGTCTAATATTAAGGTCAGAAAGATGGGGCGACAGTAATAGCCATACCATTCTTACATGAATAGAGGGTATACAAAGGAATAATAAAAGAGTCACAGTGTTTGCAAATAGACCTTTAGTTTATCCAAATTCCCACTAAATGTTGATTTAAGGAATATAATTCAAAACTAAGTCTAGCATGGGTATAGATGGAGAGGCAGAATTCTGTGGTGTGGGCTGAAGTTCTCCTCTCTAACACACGCACTGTTACTCTACCAAGTCTCAGGGCCTGGTGAAATCCTGCCCAGCCAGGACTCAGCAGCAAAGCTCAGCATGGAGACAGAAGGGAGGAGCCTGACCCACAGTGTGATGGTGCTACTGTCACAGAGATGTGTCTTCAAAGGGTCCTTTCAAGTGCCAGAGCCACTGTGCTGGGAAGTGACGGAACCTACTTGAGCTATTAGATGATTTTCTGTATCTGTTGGTGGAGACTTATTTTTCTTTCCCAAAATGGAGAAATTATGCTGACATTAATTCTAATATTTTGGAGAATGTGTAATAAAGCCTAGAATGTCATAGATTAATATGTATTTGAAATATATTCAAGAATCTGAGACTGAGATCATAGAATTATCCTAAAATCCTATTACCTAAGCTTGAAGCAAAGACATTTTCTCTACTGATAATTCGACCTTATTTGAAGTTATGCTTTTTTACTTATTTATTCAATTAAACATTATGCAAAAATAAATGTCACAAAATTAAATTGTTACAGTAGAATTAAATTCAATTATAATCAAGTATAATTAAGCAAATATAATTAAGTAAAGATTAGTACTTAATATATAATTAAATGGATAACAGAATCAGAGGATTATGTATTCATTTAAAAAGAAACATAAAAATGATGACAAAACAATGTAATTATCATTCTTTACAATGTTTCTGTAAGTGAATGTAACTTATAGTTAGGTATTTTATAACGGAGAAGTCTAAGAAATTTCATGGATCATTAAGATCAATTCAATTTATGCTCATGGAGAATTTTACTTTTTTTATTCTCTTGTTATGTGGCCTTGGGGTGGGGGTGGGGGCCTGAAATCTAAGCCTTCTTTTACTTATCTGTAGAATGGGAACAATGATACCTTCCTTTAAAAGTAGTCATGATGACATATTGAATGTATATAGCATAAAGTAAGTGCTTGATAATAGGTAGCTATTCTCATTACTCTTATTTCAGAAAAGAAAGCTTTGCATATTTTTTCTCAAGTCTATTTAAACAAGGAAGACCAAACAACCACAGGAAAATTACAGACATTATTCTCAGTGAAAGTACTTACCTAAACTCTGTGCCTCATATTTGATTTTAAATCCTTGCCCTCCATTACTATTATCAGAAATAAACTGAACGAACATTTGATTATCTGAGGTGAACAGAGTGGATGAAGGGCGACTGCCACAAAAATGACCATTTCCTCCATGAGGTCCCATGGGTGGAGAAGAGATGTCAGGTCCATTTTTTAGCTGGAAATACAAATTAAAATTCTATACATTTCTTCATATTAATAAGGATCAAGTACAAAAGTTTATTGACTTATGTTCCAGGAGAGAAATACCATCATTTTGTTTTCTGAATGAAGTCTGAAGAGAAATAATCAGAAAGAGTAGCAAACAAGACCTACCGCCAGGTAATCCCCCTCGTTACAAGAGGAGTCCCCATTTGCAATCTGGAAGGGCTGCTCAAAATGGACAGCGATGGTCAGGCCGCTGGGAACCAGGATGTGCCAAGAGCAGTTGAGGTTGGGAGGGTAGGTCTCCGGGTAGTTGGGGGATGTGATAATGCCTCTGTTTGCATGCAAATATCCACCGCAACCTTCCCAAGAAGAAACAAAGACATTTAATTTTTAAATTGAAAAGTTAAAGAAACCCTTTAAATAACATTAGGCATTTCTATTTTTCTTGAGGATTTTCAAACTTAGGCATTTTCAAACTTAGAAATGTGGTTTTAAAATAACTGAGGCCAAAGTGTGGAAAATGAATAGCACAAGTATATTTTGGGTGCACATTATAGGGTACTTGTTGTTGTTGCCAATATTAAGAAAGGGAAGTAAGCAACAGAAACAAATTGCTTTCATGAAGTTTACTTTCCAGATGAGTAAGACACACAATAAACACATATAATACGTGAGATGGTGTTAAGTTCTGTAAAGAAAAAATGAACAGGGAGAGGGCTAGTGGTACTGTTATTATCTGTGGAAGTTAGAGAAGGCCACGTTGTTGGGGTAACATCTGAGCAGGACCTGAACGAAATTGTGAGATGGTGTTAAGTTCTGTAAAGAAAAATGAACAGGGAGAGGGCTAGTGGTACTGTATTGTCTGTGGAAGTTAGAGAAGGCCATGTTATTGGGGTAACATCTGAGCAGGACCTGAACGAAATGAGAGACTGGGCCTTAGGCTTTGTGAGAGAAAAGCATTCCCGTCCAGAGAACATTTGGTGGAAAAGGCTTGACGTGTTAATGGTAGGTATGTCATGAAAGTCAGTATGCAAGCAGCTGGATGAGAGATCTAAAACGAGCAGGGTAGATCATGCAGGAAACTAAAAAGACTGATTTTTAATCAGAAAAGGAAGACATTGAAGAGTTTCGAGCATCTTCAGGGCATGCTCTGACTTAACTTTTAAAAGAATCACTCTTTCTGCAATATTTAAGCTGTGAGAGGGTAGAGAAAAGCAGCAGCAGGGTGCCCACTAAAGGGGTGCTTTCTTGAGTGTAAGGAGAGATGATAGATGCCTAGACTGGAGGTAGAAATGGTGGGAAGTGGTGAGAATGTAGACATTGTGAGAGTAGAACCATTTTGATCGGCTGATGATTGGGATTTATAGAGTGAGAAAAGATGAATCAAGAATGATGCCAAGCTTTTTGGTTTCAATAGCTAGAAAAAAATATACTTAAAATAAAAAATTGAGAAGAGTGTAGCATGAGAAAATTTGGGAGGGGTGGTGGAAAATAGTGAGGGTCAAGAGTTCAGTTTTCCACATGGCAACTTTATTTATCATGAGCTGTCATACATATGAGATACATGAGAGAGTGAGAGGCTGGGAGTTCAGGAAAGAGAATGGTTGGAGCAGGCAGTAATTTGCCAGTTGTCAGGCACTGAACAGCTTATCAGTGAGTGAGAGCTGCGAGTTCACACAACTAGCTAAATCGCAGAGGTGGGAATTTATCTTCGGTCCGTCTGATTCCAAAGCCCATTCTGTTAAACCACTATGCAGCCTGCCTCCCTTGAGAAAGACAATATATCTTCAATTGCTCTCTACTTTATAAAAGACATAAATATTGAGAGAACATTAATTTTTAAGGTCTAAGTTGGTAATCTACTTTAAAATTATGTTTTTCAGTTAAAAGCATGAGAGCCTTTTGATATTTCATATTCCATGAAATACTTCTTGAACTTTAATCTAGCTTGAATTGAAAGTTATTACTGGACTTCACATTTTGTCAAGATCTGAAAGTCTCAATCACACTGCACTTGATAGCCTGCCATATACTGTGCACATTCTCTAACTCATCAAATCCCTATTTCAAGACCAGCAAACTCTTCCTGTCACCTCCAAATGAATGATTTCGACCAAGGGATTTATGAAGGTATCTTCTATATTGCTTTGACTGGTTATTTCCGGAACTGATGATAACTCTTACTTACTGCTCCTTTGATGTGTTATGACTTTGTGCTGTCTCCGAATTCCAGTCGCAGCTAGGCTGAGATTTTGTTTTCAAGATCTTACTTTTGTGCCTACCGTGGAGGGAAGATACCCCACCCAGATACCCCACCGTGTTGTATAACTTGGCCAGTTTCTTGGATCAGGACTCAGTACCTGACATAAGGACAGCCATGCAGAGGCTGGGCAGAGACCGTGTGCTCTGACTTACAACAAACCTGTGTCCTAGCATGGAAAAATGAGCAGAGTAGATTAGAGTAGGAGCAAGAGATAGGCGAAATGAAGGAGAGACGACTAATAAATTAGGTCACATTACTCTTGTGAAAGGAGGCATTGAAGCCCGCCCTGGTCACACTGAAGTCCGAGGTGAACCGGAGCCACAGGAACTCTCCCGTGGACCGGATGGGTCCCGGGATCTCTCTGCCACAGAGAACCGCCAGCTGCCGGGCCATGTTATTGTCTCCTGGAATCAAGGAAAGGAAACACTGGCATAAAAATATTTCTACAGACTCTCCTCCACCATCACTTGCAACCCAACCAAAGCAGCTCATAATTTTTCTCAGAACATTTCATCCCCAGCACATAATGTGATTCTCAAATAGAAGGGCAGTCCAGGGACTACATCATTCTGGCTCCAGTTTGTAATGATACCACCTGCCTTTTTCTTTACTTTACTCTTTTTGATAAGCACTTCTCTGAAAGTCCCCACTGTCTTTCTAAACTGACTGACAGTTCTTGCTGACATTGAAACTCAAAATCAGAGCGCAGGATTGGGAGTGACTGTGGGCCAGTGCTGATGTGTGCGTTAGACACCGATCTACATGATTCCTATTGCTGAAGGTTTAGTATCTAAAACAGGAAAAAGGACGGTTCTTCAGCCTCAGATCCTATGCTAATGTTATAGAGTCATTTGCCAAGATGTGTGCCTTCGGCTCCAGAGGTGTTTTTAGTTTTTCTTGTTTAACTCTTCATTTGTTAGTTATTTGTTTTGCGGATAAAAGGACATGTGTGTCCATGTGTGGAGGATGAGAAAAAATAGGTTCCGCAAGTGCGCTCCTCCAGAGACTCAATGGAGGCTGAATTCCCTCATGCCCCTTTTCCTTTGGCTTCTCTTGGATAAGTGTCAGTCAAAACAGCTGTGCCAGTCCAAGCTGGAATGGAGCAGAGGAAATTATAACAGACTTGGATTCCTTGGCTGGGAAAACACATTGTATTTTTTCCCAAAGGCAGAGAATTAATGAATGTCAAGCTTATAAAAACAAAAATAGGATATGAGACATGAGGAGAGTTGCCCTTTCACATAACCAGCAAAATGAGTCCTTTTGGACACTGACCACTACCTAAAACTCATTATTAACTACTTCAGTAAACAAGTCATTCTCTGTAATTACAAACGTGATGGCATAGCTATAAATCCAAGCTGCTTGAAAAGGCATTCTTTGGAGGGTTTCTGACTTCTAGAAACTTTTGTATTTTTTGTCGCTTAAAATTTTATCTCTAACTTTTTTTGCATTTATCTTCACTATGCTATTTTGCTACACATTTCACACAAAATTGCTTTTGTTAGCTTATTCTGTAATCATGTGTATTGCCAAATTTTGAAGTTATTATACATTAGTATTTATTTAATATGTGTATATTTTACCTCTCAGGGAGACTGAGGATTTCTTTTCTAAACTTCACCAAGACTGCTGAAGCAATGCTTGTCTGTAAATAACCACTTATTGATGAACTAAAGACTTAGTAGATAGCCCAATAACCACAAGATGGTTTGTCCTCCCCAGGTCTCCATAATAAACACTGCAGTATTTCTAGAGCTTCCCACAGCCTCAGTATATGGATTGCAGCAGGATTGAAACTGATCTTTAGAAGAGACAGACAAGTCAAAGAACAGTAAAGGAAAAGGACTAGCAGGTCATTTGGGGATTCACTCTTCAGCCCAGCGTCATCATTTTAGAGACGTGGAAGCTAAGGCCCCAAGAGTATCAGTAGCTGACCTTTATTGAGCAATTGCTATTACCACTTTGAGTGCTTCATGGGTAATGCTTGATTATATCCCCGCAGTAACACTATTCGGTAGGTGTCACTATTATCCTCATTTTGTAGACAGGAAACAGTCTTAGAGGAGATATATAATTTGTCAAAGGGCATTGAGCATAAAAGCCAACAAGGGTTTGAAACCTTAGCCAATTAACTCTAGATGCCCAAACTATGCTATTAAATGATTTATTTAAGAGCATAAAGAAAGATCTAGGAATAAAAGGATTACTGATTTTGGGTACTTTTTTTTCTTTTCCCTTTTTCTTTCTCCTTCCTCTCTTCCTCCTTCCCTTCCTTCTTTTCTAAACTTTTTTTTTAGGTCTAATGTAGTGTCATGGAGCCTCAGTTTATGGAAATTGTTGGTATGCAGGATTTGTTGGGGCATGGTCTGGAAAAGGCTGATTTAATTTTGAAGCAAGACAAAATGAGTAAGCAGGTGGGAGAGTAACTCAGCTCTCCCAGGAAAGCCCCGGGGCCATTGTGAGGGCCCAGGAATACCCACAGCCATCAGAGGGCCCTGAGGCTATGAAGACTGACCAATGGGCTTTATATATTTGCTTCAAAATGTTCTATGACCTTGCTATTCAGAAGTAAAAATATGGTTGGACAAAGAACAAATAATTGAAGTGAGACTTAAAATTTAATTCTAAAAATTTGTTACCACTGTGCATATGAAAAGAAAAACAGCAATTGACACATAGTAGGCATTCAATAACTATTTCTTGAATGAATAAATAAACAGATGCAGAAAGAATTAACTTATTGGGCATCTAGTCAATCTGTTGGTGAACAAAAAGGAATCTATATGGATAACTCACACAACCAATTAAAAATATTGTCATTGTTATGGCATATACTTCAATTAACGAAGTTCTTTAAAGCAGCTCTATGTCTCTAAGAACACCTTCATTCTATAAAGAGAATATGATGAAAACTCTTTTAGAAATATCTCAAAATAAGTTGAAATTTAAATCAAACTATTCAAATTCTCCACATACCAAAGGCCAGGGTTTTTACAATCATTACCTTTCCTGTTCCTCACAACAACCTCCTGAGTTAGATGTTAGTCTCTTTCACAGACGATAGAACATTCTTGGAGCCATTTAGTAAAGTGTGCAAGGTCACCCGGAAGAAAAGTTATTGGTGGGACAAAATCAATAAAAGTGATTTTTTAAAATAACCATAATTCACCCATTGACACAGGTACCTACTGAAGTTTTTTTTTTTTTTAATTTCCACTGGGTTCTGAATATTTGGAATATGCATGTCAGGATGCACAAATGTTATTGCATGAAAAATTTAAACTTTTAATATCCACGGGAATGCCTTGATATGAGGAAAGATAATAGTTCCTCTGGGCAATGTCCTGACAGCTGATTATTGATAGGAAAAGGGGGGAAAGTTATGATTTATTATGTCATCCTCTTTGTATGATTAATTTGAGTCTTCACTTAGGACCCAACTTCTACAGAAGGAAAATAAAGCACCTTTGCCATTGATTTTTCTCACTGTTTAAACCAAGAGCTTGCACACTAGCAACCTGCGAGCCAAAAGCAGGCACATGTTTGTTTGCCACCCCCCACGCCCCGGCCCCAAATACCCCTGAAGCATTTTTCATTAATTTAACATTTGGGAAATTCAAAGAAAATTCTGTATTTCTCACATCTCCTAAAAAATAAGATCCATAACATTGAGCCTGCACTCCTAATAGCTGCCCCTTCAATTCTGTTCTCTAGTTTAACACTTCACTGGTTAGGTAGGCATTTGAAGTTGCAACATCTACCATGTAGAGAAGTGGTTCTCAAACTTTAGAGGCCATCAGAACCACTGGGGGCAGGGACAGGGGCAGGCAAGTGCGCCACTTCAAATCAAGGGCAAAATGTAAGGAGGTGCTAAAGATGTAAAAAGATAAATAATATTTTAGTGCAGTATTTAAAAATTGACTTTAATGTAAAATGAACAAAACACTAACATTTAAATAAAGGCAGGACCTGACTATGCAGTCTGCCCAGGACTGCCTTACTCTCCTGACCCTAATCTTGGCCCTGCCTGCCGAGCTTCTGAAATCACAGATCTGGGACCCATCCAGAGACTTTATAGTTTAGTAGGTCTGGGATGGGGCTCAGAATTTGCATTTCTAACAAATTCCCAGGTCATGTTGATATTGCTGGGCTGGGGACCACACTGTGGGAAACACTGGCTGGAGGCTATGGCCTCCTTAATCTTCTTGGTGCCGTGCAAATGGTGAAGCACTGTGTGTACAGGTGCATGTCAGCATTATTCATTTCCCTCAACCAATGCATAGCAATACCACGCCTGTGTATAGAGGAAAAGATGAAAAATATTAGCCCTTAATGCTACCCATTCCACCCAGAGATTCAGTAGACAAAGAGGATAAAATATATTGTAGTTACAAATACTTTTCACACTTGGATCTTAAAGTCACAGGTATAAAATATCAAGATTTATTCCCAAAGCCTTTCAACAAGACAGCAGTGCTACCTGGAAACTCAGACTATTAGTTCCTACTTAAACCAAAGGTAGTGTTTCTTCTTCAGAATGTAGTGCTGTCCCTGACATAGTATGTGGATGATTTTACTAAAGACAATTTCATAGTTTCCTTATGTTCTTCAGAAACGGTAGCCGATTCTAGTATTTGATTCCTTCATTGACCTTAATATCTGTGAAATTCCATGCAAACAGATGAAGGTAGTAAACAAGTCTGATTATAATGGAATGTAATTCAACATGCGGTAAGGTAGAAATGTAGAAGCTTTTTGTTTTATTTTGTGTTTTAAAGGTTTCTCACCATCTCGTATCACAAGTTTATCATAGTTGCATGTTCCATGAGATTCGATGTCCAGGGAGAGGATGTTGAGTTCCACTGTGGAGTCAGGGGCCTGGATCAGCCACACACAGTCAGCCCGGTTCCCGTAGTTTTGGGGCCAGCCCGGGGAGAAAAGAAAGGCTGGCACCTCTCCTGTCCTCAGGAACCCACCGCAGGCACCTGCGGAGTGAACAGGAAACGGCTCTGATGACAACACTAGTACTTTCACTGTAAGGTGTCAGTCCTGTGCTGAAATGAAACGGCCAATTAAAACAATTTTCTCAAAACCCATACATATTTATGACACTCACTGATTCAGATAGCTGTGCTTAAAATATTTATTTTTTAAAATAATTTTTGTGTGTGTGAATACTAGTAAACCCACATTGTATTCTACTTTTTCATTGTAATTTTGCCATACAACCCTTTCAGTAATTGTTTATTAAGCATGAAGCAAGTCAATGGAAGACCCTATTATTCTTATTCTTATTTTATTGTTATTCTTATCCTTATTATTTAAGTAGAACTCTGATTCCTATGTACTTTAATCTTTACCTTTTTAGTATAGCTATTCATCATGCAATTTTATCTAGGCAATTTTGAAACAATTTTCAATTTAGTAAACTGAAATACTTATTAAAAAAGCAAATGAGTTTATAACAAGAACAGCCTTCATTATTTTTATTCTGTTTTTTTTAATAACGCCTTTATTGAGCTTTTATTCACACATAAAATTTAGCCTTTTAAAACATACAGTTCAGAGGTTTTTAGTATACTCACAAATTCTGCAACCATCACTGGTGTCTAATTTTAGAACATTTTTACCACTCTGAAAAGAAACGCCATACCCATTACCATTGAGTCTCTATTCTCCACTCCTCCAGCCCACGGAAATCTCCAATCTATTTTCTGTCTCCATTGGTTTGCCTATTCAGGACATTTCATGTAAATATAACCATACCGCCCTAGCTGGTTTGATTCAGTGGATGGAGCATCAGCCTGCGGACCAAAGGGCCCTGGATTCAGTTCCAGGCAAGGGCACATATCTTGGTTGTAGGCTCCTCCCCGGCTTAGGCCCCGGTCAGGGTTCTTGCAGGAGGCAACCAATCGATGTGTTTTTCTCACATCGATATTTCTCTGTCTTTCCCTCTCTCTTCCATTCTCTCTAAAAATCAATGGAAAAAATATCCTCAGGTGAGGATTAACAAAAACAAACAAAAAATAAATATAACCATACAATATGTGGCCTTTTATAACTGGCTTCATTTACTTAACATAACAATTAAACTTCACCAATATTCTAGCCTGTATCAGTACTGCCTTCATTTTAAGGCCAGATAGTAGTATTACACTGTAAGAATATACCCCATTTAGCTTTCCCATTCATCACTTGCTGGACATTGGGGTCGTTTCCCTTTTTACACCATTATGAATAATGTTTCTGTAAATATCCATGTATACATTTTTGTGTAGATGTACATTTTCACTTCTCTTAAGTATATAACTAGGAATGAAATTGCTGGATTAATTGGTGGTAACATTGAATTTCAATTTTTGAGGAACTGCTAAACTGTTTTCCTAAGTGGCTCTACCATTTCGCATTCCCACCAGCAATGCACAGGGTCCCTGCCCGACATGTTTATGTCCTTCAGGTGACCTTAGTCCACATTAGGCTTCTTTACCTTCTATTGCTTTTTTTTTTTTCTGTTTACACCACCTGATTTGTCATTTAATTACTATATTGTTACTTAACTGAAATAATTAATGTTTTATATTTTCCAAATACTGTTAAGCTTCTAGAACAGTGACGGCGAACCTATGACACATGTGTCAGAGGTGACACGCGAACTCATTTTTTTGGTTGATTTTTCTTTGTTAAATGGCATTTAAATATATAAAATAAACATCAAAAATACAAGTCTTGCCCTAGCAGGGTTGGCTCACTGGATAGAGCGTCGGCCTGGGGACTGAAGGGTCCCGGGTTCGATTCCGGTCAAGGGCATGTACCTTGGTTGCAGGCACATCCCCAGTTGGGGGTGTGCAGGAGGCAGCTGGTCGATGATTCTCTCTCATCGATGTTTCTAACTCTCTATCCCTCTCCCTTCCTCTCTGTAAAAAATCAATAAAATATATATATTTAAAAAAATACAAGTCTTTGATTTACTATGGTTTCAAATATCAAAAAATTTCTGTATGTGACACGGCACCAGAATTAAGTTAGGGTTTTTCAAAATGCTGACATGCCGAGCTCAAAAGGTTCGCCATCACTGTTCTAGAAGGTAAAGAACATATCTTGGTTTCATTTCTTAGTCAGTGCATCTATAATAAATCCTCAATAAATAGGTATTGAATATGTATTCTATGTATGCATAAGAAATTCTGATGAGTCAATGTTCAATATATTAATACATTTTAAAATGTTAAGCTCTTTGTCATCTTAACGAAAATCTCACTGTGATCTCATCATGAAAGAATCATTTATACTATTTAGATAACTAGTAAGTTATAAAATTCTCTCACCCTTTTACTTTCTCCTTCCCTTGTTCTTGATTATGAAAAATGAGAATTATTATATTGTATTTACTCATCCACTAAAATTATATGATTTTAAAATGCATGTGTAAGAGGAAAACATTTTTTGTGAATACTAAATTGTATTTGCTGATATAATGCTTTGCATAAGTTAGTAATTCCTAACTTGATATCTGTGGATATGAAAAAGCTTACCTCAAGTGTACTTACAAGAGCTATCCAGACTTACATGAATAGCCCTAAATTACATTTGGCAATCTTGCCAATGGCTTTTTGCTCTAGGATAGATTAATATGTTAAGAAAGAGATTCATATTCAATGTTATGAAGGAGGCAAAAATAATATCTCAGAAGAAAATGCTGAGTCACTAAATAAAAATAAGTATGAGTTATACCTTCAGTAATCTTTGTTAATACAAACTCTCAAGAAATTAGAAGCAAGTAGGTTCTAATCATTTAAGGTCCCTTTATTCCTACAATAACTTCACAGTTTGAATATTCTTCAATGAAATCCTATGATAATGTGTCCCAATAAAATATTTCAAGAACTAAGACTATCCTCCAAGAAGTATATGTTGAATTTCTGCTATGTCAATCCTCAAATCTATAAAAGCCATTCAAAGTTGCTTAAACAAATTTTTAAGGAAAAAGCACAGTCTCCCAAAACACTGCTCAGTGAAGGAACTGAGGATGTCTTAAAAATAGTAAATTAAAAGCTTAAAATGTATGCCAGCCCAGCCAGTGTGGCTCAGTGGCTGAGTGTTGACCTATGAACCAGCAGGCCACAGTTCAATTCCAGGTCAGGGCACATGCCTGGGTTGGCTGCTCAGTTTCTAGGAGGGGGCAGGCAGGAGTCAGCCGATCAATGATTCTCTCTCATCATTGATGTTTCTCTCTCTCTCTCTCTCCCTCTCCCTTCCTCTCTGAAATAAATTAAAACAGGAAAAAGAAAAGAGAAATTCCATTCTTAGCCTATCTGGTTTGACTCAGTGGTAAGAGTGTTGGCACTAAGACTGAAGGTTTTTGGGTTTGATTCCAGTCAATGGCTCATACTTTGGTTGCAGGCTTAATACCTGGCCCCAGTTGGGATGCATGCAGGAGACAACCAGTTGATGTGTCTCTCTCACATCGATGTTTTCTTCCCCTCCTTTCCATTCTCTCTTTAAAAATAATAGGCCAATTGTACCTTGAAACATGAAGGTTCACAACCAGCAAAGGAGAAAGTGAAGCATTTCTGAAGGCAAATTTAAAATGAAATACAGAGGGAAAGCAGTTCTTTTTATTAGTGGATCCTAACTAATGTGTGTGTGTATATGTGTGTGTGTGCATGTTGTATTTGAAAATCAAATTTTCAGAGATCTCTAAGGTGATCTCTAACTATTGTAAGTAGAATATCTTATGGATATTAAACCATTAATTAATATGAAAAATATATGGGAAACTAGCATTTTTAGAAATAAACATACAATTTTTAAAATATATTTTTATTGATTTCAGAGAGGAAGGGAGAAGGAGAGAGAGATAGAAACATCAATGATGAGAATCACTGATTGTCTGCTTCCTGCATGTCCCTTACTGGGGACCGAACCCTCAACCCTGGCATGTGCCCTGACCTGGAATTGAACCGTGACCTCCTGGTTTTTAGGTTAATGTTCAACCACTGAGCCACAGCAGCAGGGCTTATTGTTATTAGATATTTTTTATTGAATTTTAGAGAGCGGGAAAAAGAGAGGGAAAGATAAATAGAAACATGATGTGAGAGCAGACATGATGTGAGCAGAACATTGATCAGCTGGGTCTTGCACGCCGCCAACGGGGATCTAGCCTACAACCCGGGCATGTGCCCTGATGGGAATTGAATCAGCAACCTTTTGGGCATGAGATGACACCTAACCCACCGAGCCACACCAACCAGGGCAAAAATACAATTTTTACATGTCTATGAAATTAAAAGATCACCTGGACATATGGAAGGAGGTTTGCGGACTGTATTTATTCTTCTTACTCATTTGCATATATTTGGCCCTATTATGTTAGAACCCTTTGAAATACTGGCCTACACATATCATCCCCTAATAAGAATTTCATTTGTTACCAAACACACCTGTAGCAATGGTAGGTAAGGGTCCGACAGCAGCATCCACTGCAAACCACTCTAGAAGGAATCCTTTCCCTGAGACTGAAGAGTCAGAAGAAAACTGAAATGTCAAAGAACTTCCTGTGGAGCTAAAAGAGTCAGTCTGAGCACCACAGTACGTTCCAATGGGGCGAGAATGAATGCCAGCGCCATCATAAATCTGCAGGTAAAACACAGATAGTAGGACAATGAATTAAGGCAATTACCTCTATTTTTCTTCATTAAAAAAATTAAAAGGGTGTATTATGTTATAATTTATCATAATGGAAAAATAAGCGAGTAAACATCTGTTTTAAAATAAAAAATGCCATTAAATATGTAACATAATTACAATAATTTAATGTTTTAAAATTATTTATATCTTCCCTGCTGAATTATACTAATAAATATATTCTATGTGATATAGCTCCTTGTATGATACAGTAAAATATGGTGGTGGAGAGTAGAAACCAAGAGAGGTGTGCAAAACTAGCAGTTATTGAATGTGCTTTGGGGCCTCAAAGGAAATTAGAGAGAAAGAAAATTAAAAAAAAACAAGAAAGAGGAAAGGTTTAATGAGAGAAAGTGACGAGATATTCTAAAGGAATTCCTATCTCCACAGAAGTAAAGATGCAGAATTAATAACAACAAAAGAATTGTAGCTTGCAACTGCTCAGCACACCTTCAAAGCACTCAATAAATCTTTTTCATTTGGTTTAAAAATATTGAGTACCTATTTAGAGACACATTTTATGCTAGCTCCCAAACACGCAGCATGGAGCACACTTTCTCTTTATTGCACATGTGATGG